TCCATTAGCATGTAATTGGCGTCAACGTCATCATACATATATGACACCTTTATTTACATTACAATCACAATCCATAATTGATCCATCAATGTCAACAACAACAAATTTAATGACTATAGATCCTGTTCAATTTATGCAAACATTAAGTGAAAATAATAATAATAATGCAGATCAACAACAACAACAATCATCTAATTCAACATCATCAATGATTTTACAAACACAAGAAATATCAAATAGACAACAATTTATTCCAACACAAATGTTAGATAATAATAATAATACAAATTATAATTGGCTTAAACAAACAAATACATTAGATTCAATAAATACATTTATGTTACCAACATTATCAACACAAACAAAGAAAACAACATCATTAATTGTTGATGTTGATAATACAAATAAAAAATCAAAAACAAATACACAAACAAATATACAAAATCAACAGAACGATGAAGAAGATGATGATATATTTAGACTTAAAAGAAGATTTCTTAAAGATTCTGGACAATTACATGGTAAAAAAACGAAATATTATGTTGTTATCTTGAAATAATTAGAAAAGTTTTATTAAGCGATGTCTCCCAAATTGATCCTTGATTAATTTGTCCTAGCTTTGAGAGAGTAGTATGCGTTTTTTGTTTATACGTTTGACAGTGTATTGAAAGTTCAATTAGTTCAGCACCATTTGGTTTTTGTTCAGTAGTCACAAAATGAAATATGACAAACAGGTAGTGATAGGAATGACGAATATAATGATTAGAGCTATATTTGCATTGTAAAATAGCTTGTAAATTTGAACTGAAGGTAGTCATCTCATGAAATACGAATATTATATAATCTTAAGTTTAATTGTTATTCTCATTAATCTTGATTAAAAGATTAATCAGGACTGAATTCCAAATTGACTGGAATCGATATGAGTCTTATTCGAAAACAATTAAAATGTGATAATCTATCTTAATTATCAATCAGAAGTGAGTTAGCGGTAGACTGATTAAGCTATCTTTGGAAGATTTTACTTAGTGGAACTTCATTTCTTGACTGAAAATTTTTAGTTGTTTTTTATTTTGCTCTACATATATTAATCTAATGGGAATAGTAAAGAAACCTATGAGAAGATGAAACTAAACAATGAAAGTTTTCATATTATTTAATTTTTCCAGAAAAAAAAGTAAAGAGAATCAGCTTCATGTCTCAAACATCATATATCTGAACGAGCTGAAACTTTTTTTATACTAATAATAGAAAGTGGTTATGATGTCTAAAGTTTTTTTCTTGTTTGGAAATACGATGTAGCACTGATTGTTGTCAGAATTTACAAAAAACTCTAATCGAAAAAAAGCATGTCTTTTTTCGAATATACTTTCAGAATGTTGACATTTGTATAGGAATAGAAGAAGAAAAAATTGAAGGAGAGAATGAGAGGGTCGTATTTAACTCTTTGTGACTTCAATATCTTCTATAGAGCAACATTCGAGTATAGGATAACTTTTGTTCTACTCATCGAAATTTATCTGCTCTGAAAGTTTCACATTTTTCTAATTAACTATTGTCCAAAAATCGAGATCTTTGTTACTCGAGTTTCATTTTCTCTCGTTTCTATATAATTATTCGTAAACATTAAAAAAAAAAGTACAAGAATGTCATATCACATAGTAAACCAAAAGATTCTATGATCCTTCAATCCTCTGAAAACTACTATGTTTAGTTCTCCAAAAACCTTCCTTTCATATTCCCATTCATCAAAATTTTTTGTATGAAATACATTTGATAGATGATAATAATAATAATAATATAAAATTTCTTTTATTTTTAGCTGCTTATTTTGCTCGAAGACAAAATGAAAAAAAAGAAAATGAAAAACAATTTCTAAATGAAATAAAATTAAAACAAGAAAATCAAGTTGAAAAATATCGTACATATCGTATTGGTGAATTACCTGATATACAAATACGTTATAGTGATATTATAATACCTTTACAAGCACTTGCTCAATATGATAATCATATAGCACGTTTATTATATGCAAGTTTATTTACATCAATATTAAATTCATTAGAAGATAAATTATTACCTGATGAATATTTTAATTTAATTCAAACAATTCAACATCGTTTTGATGTTATGTTATCACAATCAGAAATTTTCTATCCATCATTTGTTGCTGCTTTACTTGATATTGTTTTATCTAAACCTGAACAAATACAAATATCATCACAATATATAAGTGCATCAACAATTTCAAGTCATTTAGAATCAGTTGGTATATTAACAATTGAATGTTTTATACGTTTAAATCAACAAAATGAATCAAAACTATATATAAATGGACCATTAAAAAAAAAATTAAAATCTGATACAGATTTAAATAATCAATTATATAAAAAAATTGATCAATGGCTTGAATTAGCTAAATGTTATCGTTCATTAGCTAATTATGATGATGTACGTGGTATTTTTTCTCAAACACCAGGTTTAAAATCTATAACATTACGTGCTATTGAAGAAGAAAGTCATACAGATTTTTTATTAGCTTTAAATAGTTATGTTACAGCATTAGAACAATATCCATTAACAGATGAAACATTAAATGATTCAATATTAGAATTAGAACATGAATTTTGGACACAATCAATGTTAAATTGTTGTAATCAATTAAATAATTGGACAATTATGTCTAAACATATATTTATTGATAATACAACATTTGATACATTATGGTCAAATGCACATCAATTAAATTATTTAATGCCATATGCAATACGTGCTAAACTTAAATTACTTATAACAGGCAATGAAAAAGAACAATTAGAACAAAATGATCTTTGTCAATTTTTTAATAATTTATCAACAAATTCAAATAATACAATAATAACAGGAAATTCTGAAACAACATTTGTTAAACGTTCTTATATTGAAAAACAATATCCATTTGAATTAGCAACATTTTTTCTTTATCAAAAAGATTTTGATCGTAAGTAATGAATTCAATAAATTTTTTTGTTAATATTAATCGTATAGGGAAAATAATTAGTTTTTTATTTCAAAACATTGAAATACGTAGGTAATTTGACTTTTTAAATATCTGTTAGAAATGTGTATAACTATTCTAAATTTTGAAATCTTCTCATCATATTCTATTTCATAAGTCCTAAACGGAAATTTGATCTAATGAGGAAAGCTCACTAAACTGACCAATGGTGATTGAATTGATTTTTTTTTTCGATAAGTAAGACTCTGTAAAATTTGAAAAGACAAGAATCTTTGAAACTTTTCCCCGAAGTTATAGCTTCTTTGATGTGTTTTAACATTAAAATTCATTAGAGTTTTTTGATATAATTAAATGAATTAATTGATTTGTTTTATTTTGAGGTGCAAAATATTATATTCAATATGCTAAAGAACAATTTTTATTACGTTGGTCAACATTAAGTCGTTTAAGTGAATATGGTCGTAAAACAACAATTCAATTAATTCAACCTTATTATGAACTTGATCAATTTCTTGTATTTATTGAACAAAATTTACCATTATTAAAATCTCTTGAAAATCGTTATTTAACAAATAATAAAAATGATACAACAACACGAGATTTATTTCTTGAACGTGTACATTATGATTTATTATCACAATGGCAATTACCAGATGTTATACGTAGTTCAATACAAACATGGGATGATATTGTTACAAATCGATCATTATTTTTAGATGTATGTATAAAGAATTTGATATTTTTCTAGTTTTCTGCATATTTGAAATATATGAAGAATTATAACACACTATGATGTATTACAAATAAGAAGCTGTGAGTTTAGGTCCACAAAAAATATGAATCCGCAGTCTCCAAGTTGCGTAACGATGAGAATGGATTGAGGTTTTTTTTTATTTCAAAGGACAAGACAGTCATAGTTTTTAAATTTGTCATAGAGAGAAATAGACAAAAGTGAAAAACAGAAATAGTTGATTTTATTTTATTTTTTAAATAAATCGATTAAAGACTATTTTAGTTGATAAAATGCTGTTGTTGTCTATTGTGTTGAGATTTGTATAAGTTAGTTTTTACGACGATCTGTTTAATAAAGAACAAGTTTTATTGATTCAAACATCCAACACGATAAATTTACTCTAAGTTGATATATGCTTACAAAATTATTGTGGTATATCGAATTTGATCTTTCTATCAAATTTGTATTGAATATCTATGAGATTCGTTTCAAGTTATTTTATTTGATAAAGGAAATTTCTCACTTGATGAATTGCCTTTTAAGTTGAGAATATGCACATCATGTTGATTCTAATGAGTTATGAATATTTTGAGAAAAGTTTGGACCCTTATTTTATTGCTGCGAAGATACTGCACATTCGTCATATTGGTTTATCTCTATGCTGTAAGCTTCTTCGAAATAACTCATTTTTTTGATTCTCAACTTGAAACTTTCAACTGAAACAAGTCTCAACTAGAATAATTTATTGTGAAAGTTTCAATTGTTTTAATTCGCTCCTGTTATGAAATAAGAAAATCAAATCCGTCCATGTATCTAAACAATGTAAAAGACAAACTTTTACTATAGCCGAATCTTCGAATAGGCTCAACAACAAGATCTGAAAGTTTTGTCATAAACTATTCTCTTTAAGATCTGTCACAAGGACTTACATAATGCATACAATTTGCCCTGAAAACTGATTAATCAGTTGTAGAACTTCCTTCTTGAATATATTCATCCTAGTTGTTCTTCTAAAATTGTGACCATTGAAAAAAAAAAACTTTTTCAAACTACTAATTATAATTTAACTTAAGATTCTCGATGAATTAATTGGTGGACCACGTATGACATTTACAAGTCGTTTAAAAGCAACTGAATTTGATCCATTATTAATTGATTATAAAGTTCAATCGTTACTTGATATGTCATATTGTGCATTACGTCAACGTAATTTTAAATTAGCTTTAACAAAATTAAATGAAACACGTCATCGTCTTGATTTATGTCAAAATCCATTAATAAAATCAATATATTGGAATGAAATATATTGTGATGTACATTTAAAACGTCATCAAATACAATCATCAACATCAACATTATCAAGTTTATTATCAACAAGTGTTGCAAAAGAATTAAAAAAAATGGAAATTAAAATTTCTGCATTAAAAATCATTGATCAACAAACAGCACAATTAAATTCAAATTATATACAATTAAATTCACAATTTTGTCGAACAATTATTGATTTTTTACTTGCACAACCACAAGGTTATTATAATTATGAACAAGATGAAAAAATTCCACAAGCTAAACATAAACAATTAGAAATGTATTTATATGGATTAGAAAATAATAATGATAATCAAATTCAACAAGCTGATTTATTAATTTATGAATTATTTAATAAATGTATAAATATATTAAAAGAAAATATTGAAAAACAAGAAACTGATTTACAAAATCTTTCAGTAAGTTTTTAAGAAAAAGAATCTTTTTTTTTTTCTATCTTTTGTTTATTTTTAGACATCTATTCGTCTAGCAAAAGAAAATATTCTTAGTCGTGATTATAATGAATTAGCAAGTATATGTGATGATTATTTACGTCGATATGAAAATAATGAAGATGAAAATAATTTATTAACAAATTTATTTAATGGTGATCATGGAAATAAAATAGCTGAATTAATTGTTAAATCTGTTTTATTATCAATGAAATATGGTTCAAATGAAGGTGTTAAACGTTTTTCACGTTTATTACAAATTGTCGATTTATATCCAAATACAATGAATTTAATTGCTGATAAATTACAAGAAATTCCTTGTTGGATGTTTTTTGATTGTTTATATCAAATAACTGCATATTTAGATAAACCTATTGCGTAAGTTACTTATCATTTTATTTAAAGATTACTTTTCAAAAAACAAAATCATCCCTTACAATTTAAAATTTTTTTTAGTTGATATTTGGTTCATAAATAGGATTCGATACGACTAGAAAAACAAATCTAAAGGGGTTTGTTCCCATGAACCTTCGGAACCGAGTTATAATAGTTTCGCTGATAGATAGGTCTAATGACTCTTACAATATCTTGACTGTTTCAGCTGCAAAAGTGTTTTCCTTTGTCGAGCTTACTGAAAAATTCAATATCTCTACAAAGAAATATTCTTTTCGTCTGAAATTTTAATAATATCTTCAATTAAAATTTTTACAACTATAAAAATTAATAACACATTCAATAAAAATTATCATTATTGTAACTTTTAATAATTAGTAAAATTCAAAATAGAATATTTTAATTAAATTTTTACATTTAAATCTTCATGTTTTTTTTAAAGCCTTAAATTATATCCAGTAATTGAACAAATTGTAAAACTTTATCCACAATCAATAGTTTATCCATTTAAATTAAGTTATGAAACATTACAATATTCAATTCAAGATCCAATATTAAAACAAAATCTTGAATTAATTCAACAACAATTAAATCGTTATACACCACTTGTTAATGAATTTATTGAAGCATTAAATCAATTAAATCCTCAACAACAATTTGATACATGGTCAAAAGAATTATTTCATTTATTAACATCTGATTCAAATACACGAGATATTATTAAACTTCAAGAACATTTAATTAAATTTAAACAAATACTTTTTTCTGATATAATTAATCTTGATGAAACAAATGATGAACAATTAATATTATCAAATACACAAGATAATAATGATATAGATGATAATACATTATTAAAACCTAAAATAACATCAATAAGAATATTATTTAAAAATACTGTTGAAAAAGAATTTAATGATTTATTTGGTAAAAATGGTGAATTATTATCAACAATATCATTAGGTGATACACGTTTAATATTAGGTAATATATCATTAAAATTAAAAAATATTATACAAGATAAAACAAATATCAATGATTATTCAACATGGTTTTCATCAACATTTCGACAACAAAATCGTATATTAGATAAATCATCTATACGTGAATTAGAAATACCTGGACAATATACAAGTAAAAAAAAACCATTAATGGAACATCATATTAAAATTGTTGGTTTTGATGAAAAACTTTTGGTACTTCATTCATTACGTTTACCAAAACGTATAACAATACGTGGACATGATGAAAATGATTATAGATTTTTAGTTAAAGCTGGAGAAGATATACGACAAGATCAACGTATTGAAGCTTTATTTTCAATTATGAATGATCTTTATGATAATGATCCAAATTGTAATCAATCAAATTCAGCTCATATTGCTGTACGAACTTATAAAGGTAATTAGTTGTTAAGTGTTTGATCAAAGAATTGTTTTTTCTCCTGAAGTGTAGCGACATATAGGAATAATAGATTCAAGAAAAAAAAGCAATCAGAAAAACTGGAATACACCAAAAAACATTAAGTTTCATTAGACTCGATTTTTCATTGTATTCAGAGACACATACTTGTGATTCGAACAGTCAATATTCTTCAAGTTCTACCCATAATAGAAGATCAGGGGTCTTCTATTGCGAGAAGTCCTACTCGAACTTACTCAGTTCTAGTTTTACTCGTCATATAATTTGTAAAAAATCTATTTATGCTTTTTTTTTTAAAATTTTGTTTGATTGTTGAGAGAATCGTTTTTCCAATATGACAGCAAAACATCATAAATACAGGTTTATATTCAGAGATTATGATCACATTTTCGTCAAATTCCGATGCTTTCATCTCGTCACTGTTTTCGAATAATTTAACCTGTGTGATTCTATTGAGATCAAAATTTCTGAATACAAATCTGTATTTATGATGTTTTGGCATCATGTCGAAAAAAAAGAACGATCTTCTTAACACTTAAACAAAAATTTTTTAAAAAGTGTGCAGAATTTCTTTTTGTAACCAATTTTGAAATTTTGTAATAGAAGAAATCGAGATAATACCATAAGATTGATTATCTTTATCAAATAAAACGATTTTTGATAATATTATGTCTAATTATGAGATACAAAATGACAAATCCGATGAATAAATTACATAGAATTATAAATTTCAATCAAGAGAAAAATTTCTAAATATAATTATTTTAGTTATTCCAATGTCATCAAAATT